GCATCTGATAAAACAGAGACTGGGGCATAAGAGAAGGAACATCACCACCCCCCACCATCAGTGCTCGGTGTTGAAGGGGTAGAAGACGTACGTGTACATTGGTTTTGGCAACCTTCACCACAACAGTGCTCCAACAAAGAACTCTTGTGCACACAGCTTCCCCCCACATTGCTAGGCTATGACATCGACCCCATGTTTGTATGCGATTAAGAAAACAACCAACATAGAAGCCGTTTTTTCGTTTTTCTCTTTTTCTTATTAACTTTCTTCCCCTCATAGGCAGCATGTAGAAGGTTTTAAACATTTCATCGGTCTTTTGCATGAAAGATAAGCACGAGGGTAAGAGTAAGATCGATCCGGTTCTTTGGAAACCTCACCCACTAATGAATGCATCGTTGATGCATATAGGCAGGCATGGATTACAGGATTCATATGGTACTACTGTGGCTTTTTTTCTAAATTCATATGCTCATCTTTATTTGGACATGCAAGTGTCTGGTGCATGATTAATTGCAAACACCAAGGATTTAATGAAAGAAGCGGTTTGTATTAGGCTGCAACTTTATTCATAGAAGTAAGGTTGTTATGCTTTACACTGTCTATTTTACTTAACAATGTATAATTGACGCACCTTTTAAGATAATACATGGCATATCTTTGTAGATAGTATCCAATATACAATATACAATGTTTAATACTATCCAAATTAAAAATGGCCGATGTAGATTGTTGCAACCTTATTTTTACAAGTAAAGTTGCAAACTTCTATAAACATTGTCTTTTAATGAAAAACTGACCTTAAATTTTAAGGATTATGATTCACCCAATTCGATTCAAACTGGAAATCCTACATTTCGAGACTTGATAATATTTTAAATTAAGGAAAAATTACATATGGATAGAGTTTCAACACGTTTATTTCGGTATGGGTCACATTTTTGCAAAAATTATGTGGAGATTACTTTCCACCCGCTGCCCCTTTTTTATCTCCCCTAGAATTGCCCACTTGTCCAGCATTTCCATGACTAGACAGTTGGAAAATCTCACAAGTCTTTTACTATCTCTAGTAATAAGGGCTTGTTCTGTACTTTCAACACCGAATGGACTTGTTGCTCAGTGTTTTGTAATACCAAACAACTCAATTTATAAAAAATATTTGTTATCCAGGCATGTCTGAGATTTGCAACACCGAGCCTGATGTTCATGTTTCTAATGTTAGACAATTTAACTTCCTACGCTCTCCAGCAATAGAAATACTGAACTAATTATAAATATTATTAGTTAAATTCTTACTATTTAATTAGAATAATAGAGTTTATGTAATATATTTATTTTTGTATTTGAATGTATTTTTTATTCAAAAAAATTTCTTCAAATAGAATTTAGCATAATAGAATATTTTTTCCTATTCTAAAATATTTAATTAGATTTTAAATTCTATTTCATTTCATTTTTGTTTTTGTAATTTTACAATGAGGATGTAAAACTATATATATATATATATATACATATGAAAAATTTTGAGATTAGCCCACTAGCTCATATGAATATAAGAGCCCAACGACTCAGATTGAATTTGAGTCGATCTGACAGTCACAACCTCATTTCGTATCTGAATTTTAATTTTTTTCTACGAATCCAAACAAGTTTAAATTTTAGGCGTGTGTTCTTCTCATTAAGGAAGAACTAATAAAAATATTTTAATTTTTTGTTCAAAAAATAAATTGATCAAAATACTCTCGTAGAGTTTCAAGGGTATTTTGATCAATTTATTTCTTGCAAATTATTTTTTTGATATTTTTATTAGATTACCTTTTTTCTAAAGAATACATTCCTAAAATTTCAAAATATTCGTAGAAAAAAATATTAAAATTCAAATACGAAATGAAGTTATAACCGTCAGATCGGCCCAAATTCAATCTGAGCCTTTGTGCTCATATGAACACATATGTTTGTATGAGC